CTAATTATATTGAGCATTTGAGAATGGTCCTAGAGGTTTTGAGAAAAGAAAAGTTGTTTGCTAATCTTAAAAAGTGTTCTTTTTGCACAAAATCAGATTGTGTTTTCAGGTTATGTTGTTTTAGCTAATGGAATTGTAGTTGAGGAGGAAAAGGTTAAGGCAATCAAAGAATGGCTAATGCCTAGGAGTATTTCTAAAGTGCCACGTTTTCATGGTTTGGTAAGCAAGTTTCTATCGAAGATTCATCAAGGATTTCAACACCATTACTGCTCCATTGACTGAAATTGTTAAAAAGAGTGTTGGATTCAAGTGGGAAAGTGAACAAGAGAATGCATTCAAGTTGATTAAGGAGAAGTTAATGTTTGCACCCTTACTTGCTTTACCTAACTTTATTAAAAACTTTTGAAATTGGGTATGATGCAACAGGAATTGGTATTGATGCTGTTTTGATGCAAGAACAGAGGCCTATTACATTTTTCAATGAAAAATTAAATGACACAACACTTAACTATCTTATTTACGACAAAAAGATGTACATGTTGGTAAAGGACTTAGAAATGTGGCAGCATTATCTTTAGCCTAAGGATTTTATGATACATACTGATCATAAATTGTGAAGCATTTGAAAGGACAAGGATTTCAAAGATGACACATGTCATTCCATGTCATAAAACCGATGATGCAAACAATATTGTACATCTGTTCTTTAAGGAGATAGTGCATTTACATGGCATTCTGAAGACTATTGTTTCTGATCATGATATCAAGTTCTTAAGCTACTTTTGGAAAACTTTCTAGGGAAAGTTGGGAACTAAGTTATTGTTTTCAACTACTTGTTAGCCATAAACTAATGGACAAACCGAAGTGGTTAACAGAACATTGATAGCTTTATTGAGTTTTATTATTCGAAACAACTTGAAGATTTGGGAAGAGTGTTTGTCGCATGTTGAATTCGCTTATAATCAAAGCGTTCATTCAGCAACTAATTATTTACCGTTTGAAGTTGTTTATAGCTTTAATCGACTCATCCCGTTGGATTTATTACCTTTACCTATTGACGAACAAACAAGTTTAGATGGTAAAAAGAAAGCTGAAGTGGTTAAACAATTTCATGAGAGGGTGCAAGAAAACATAAAGTGACAAATTGAGCAATATGCAAATCAAACCAACAAAGGGGGTAAGAAAGTCATTTTTGAACCTGGAGATTGGGTTTGGGTGCATATGCATGAAGAGCAATTTCCTACACAAGGGCATTCTAAGCTACAACTAAGAGGCAATGGACCATTCCAAGTGATTGCAAGGATTAATTACAATGCATACAAATTGGATCTTCTTGGTGAGTATAATGTTAATGCTACTTTTAATGTTTTTAATCTTTATCCTTTCAATGTAGGTGACAATTTGAGGACAAATCCTTTTGAGGAAAAAGGGAATGATGAGAATCAAGATGATAACATGCATACAACATTAAGTGATCCATTGCATATTCAAGGAGGTCTGATAATAGGAGCAAGAGCTAAGAAGATGCAAGAAGATGTTGATGCACTTATTGAGGAGATTTCAACTAAAAGCAACACACAGCAAGTGAATCGAAGCTTGGAGGATTGTCAAGCCTAGTAAACATTATTGAAGTCCAAGGATAGCTTATTTGAGGTTATGTGGACTAAATTGCATAGTTTGGATCAAAATCACTCAATTTAGGCACAAATGCACAACTCTACTACAATCTATCCCAAATTGATGTTTTGCACTATTTTAAGTGGTTATGCATGATTTTTTTTTTGTTAATTTTACTTATATTTTCATTTTGTATGAGTTATTTAGGTTGAAAATTGTTTTAAATTGAAGCCTAATTCGAGTCTGACTAGGAATAGTACAAAATCAAGTCTTTTTAGGAGTAGGCAGATCCAATCCTACTTTTAACTAAATTTGTGTATGCAATTTTGAGATTTTTTTGAGAGACTTTTCTCTTAGTTCATTTGTGAACTTTACAAATCTTATCAAGATTGTCCTTGTGGTGTTCTAATCTAACTGGCCACTCTTGTTCTTAATCGTTCTTAAGTGTGGTGTCAAAATTCCTTTATACCTTTGGTTCTTATTTCAATATAAACAATGGGTCAAGGTTTGTCTTCTATAGATCTGATTTAGCTTTCTTTGGGGTTTTGAATCTCCTTGTTGTGCATATGGGGCTCATTGTGTTCTTTGGGTTTTGCATTATGAGGCAATTTGCAAAGTCCATGGTCATGGCAAGAATAAAGGTTTGTTCAAGAAGTATGTCTATCTTGGGAATTAAAGAAAGATACATCAAGCTTTAAGAATGATAACACATAGAATGCATCTTGCTTGATATAGATATTAATGATGAGGGATTAAATTACACAAATGCATCGATAATAAGAAGATTCATCAAAGCTATCGATTCTTTCTACCACTTTGGGTGGCTATGATGTGTTGTTAAATACTACTCTTGGTATGTAAGTTTTTCTCATTGTTATCATGATAGAAACCTAGGGGGTCATACACTTAGTGTGTTCTAGAGATTGGGATCTCTATAAATCCAAGTTTATGAATATTGATTAATTTATGTGAAAATAGTAATTTTACAAGAGAAATAAATTAATCAAGATTTGAAATAAATTAGTAGAAAATAATTAATTTAATTTAATCAAGTTTGAATTTATTATAAGTTAAGAACAAGAAAAATCCAAAGTAGCATTTAAGTCCTTGGAGGACTTGTTAGTTGAAACCTTACTCCATTAGACTAGGGCTTGAGCGACACATGGGCAAGAAGGCCCATGGCTAGCACTCCTACTCTAACATGAAGTGTGCGACAAGGAAAAAAGAAAAAAAGGAAAGAAAAGAAAGTCCTCTTTTTTTGATTTTCTATTTTGACTTGAAGACTAAGTTTGACAATTTTAATTAAATTAGAATTGTAAGTCTTCTATTTCCTAATAATATAAATAGGTGTAGAAAAACTTAAATTCTTGATAGAGGATTTTTCCATCATAGAATTTTAGACTACTAAAATTATTCTACCAAAACCTAGAGGGAAACAAAATGACTTTCTGATTGCTAACACCTTCTAAAACTCAATCTTTTTCAAATCCTCCAGTGCATGTGTGGATCACTGTTAGAGGAATTCTACACTTGGATTCTTGGGTGGCTTTATCAAAGGACAATGGTCACATCTATATATTAATGAGGCATGTGATGTTGAGGTACTGATTATAAATCCTTTCTTAATCGTAAATGGATTCATAAGGATCATAAATGGGTTGAAAGAGGACAAGATTAAAATTTTAATTTTTTGCTTCTACTACGTCATCCTAAACTTAACACTGACTACAAAATTAGGGCCCTTAGATGAGGGGGGAAGGCCTAATATCAAGAGGTCCTCCCCCAATCAAGGTTAACTAATTTGCAATCTACTATAATCCAAACTGCAAAATAGCTTTTCATTCTATTAATGTGGTCACACAAGTCAACTATCAATTTGATATAACATTTATGACCTTTTGATCAATGAAACTCTATTTACTTACATATATTTAATGGTTTTAAGTTTGTGTAAACTCTAACATTTATAGCATGAGTTTATTAATTACACAAAATTTAATATTATTAAATATATGTTAGTAAATAGAGTTTTTTATCCAAGAGTTATAAACGTTAGATTAATATAAAAAATGACATACATAATCTATATAAATAAAATTTTTAATCCAACAGTTGATTTTTGTAAATTTTAATTTAAAGGTGGATTTTTAAGCAGTTCCTCCAAAAATAAAAGTATTGGGAAGCCAACCTGCACTACCTTAACCCACATTTACATATGAGATTAGTGTTATCAGCTTGACCTCTAAAAAATTAGAATAAAAAACACTCCAAAACTATGTCATTTTAATTATCTCTTATTGAAAAAAACTAAAATATCCTATTTGTAAAGTAACAATGTGATTAATTTGGTCTTTTCTTATGATTATTTATTGAAACAATATAGTTTTAAAATATTTTTTTGCTTAATTTTTTAAAGCTTTGGGGATAAACACTTTTCCCTCTTTATAGATAAAACTTGGTGGATCATTATTTAGGATGTCTAGTATATAGAGGTTAAAAATTTTTTTGGAGAAAAGTTCAAAAATTAGATTTTGAAATAGATTTAAGCAACTTTTCTAAAAGAGCTTTAATAAAATTTACTTAAAAGTAATTTTAATTAAAAAAATCAAATTTTGTAATTTGTATAGTTATGGTATACATTAAGAACCCATTAATTATACTTTTTTATAATTAATTTATATTGAAAAATAAAAAATTAATTTTAATTTTAATTTTATCAATCATCTAATTAAGAGCATTTGTATGGTATTATTAATAAAAATATATAAGATCAATTTTTGTGAAATTTTATAAAAATTAAATATAAAAAATTAATTAATATACCCTTAAAACACATTTAATCAAACCTTTCAAACTATTACGTTACTAACATTACTTTCTTATTTTTCTAAATTTCTATTGGGTCAGGGAATTTCCCCACGGCAATTATAACTTTATGGTGTTGGTTTTCTATCTTGTGAATTGAAGCCACGTCATAAAGATAAATAATTTATCAATAATTATTAAAAATGCGAAAGATGATTTATGTTTTAGATTAATTTAAGTTATAATTATAATTATAATTATAATTAATCAAAGAAGACATTTAACAATATTTTGCGATTTAAATTAAATTAAATTTTCAAATTTTATGTATAATAAAAGAGTAAGAATTTATTTATACATAAGTTTTATATATTATACTTATATAAAATTTTAATCATTTATTTTTTTATTTTTAATGATGAAGATTTATTTATATTTATTAAAAATAATTATTTTTTTACTTAAAAAATTATAAAAAAATTTTAATTATAAAAAATAAAAAAATAAAAAATTAAAATTATATATAAATATAATATATAAAATCTATGTATAAATATATCCCTTCTCGTTATAAAATCGTCAGTGAATTGTTGAATTTGTTCTATATGCTGAGGGCAACCAATAAAAAATGAAAAACCCGTTAAAGATATGGTAGTCCAAGCACTCGAAAAGTTGCAATTATAACTTCCCAACCACCACGCGGCATGGCCGAAAAAACAGGAAAAAAACTCCCCAACGACCTTCACCCAAAATACATTTCCCTCATTTACTCCACACTCTCCAAACCAATATTATTTATCCCACTCTCCACCAACATTTTCTAGCTAGCTAGGAGACCAAAAATAAAGACTAACAGCAAATGGCAACTATGCAAACTCTATTCCTCATTTCTGTTCAACTATTACTCATGCTCGTGAGAACCTCCGGAGGAAAAGTTCCCGCCATCATCGTGTTCGGAGATTCCTCGGTTGACGCTGGCAACAACAATTTTATTCCTACCGTCGCTAGGAGTAATTTTCAGCCTTATGGTAGGGACTTTTACGGGGGGCGGGCAACCGGAAGATTTTCCAACGGTAAAATTGCCACTGACTTCATCTCTGAGGCCTTTGGGTTGAAGCCTACTATTCCGGCGTACTTGGATCCGGCTTATAATATCTCTGAGTTTGCCACCGGGGTTACCTTTGCTTCTGCTGGAACTGGATATGACAATGCCACTTCTAATGTGCTGGTAAGTGTTCAAGTTCGTATTTAATGTACGTACGTATGTCTCTAGCTAACCCGACCTTAGAGGGCTATAAATCAGTAATTAATATACCGCTTAATTAATTTTCGATTTAAATCGAGTCAAGTTTAACTGAATTTGGAACCAAGTTGGAGTTCTAACATACTAGTAATCAAGAAAACCTAACAAGAGTCAATTAATTATTACTTGCAGTCTGTGATACCTCTATGGAAAGAATTGGAATACTACAAGGATTATCAGAAGAAGCTCAGAACATATCTTGGAGAGAAACAAGCAAGTGAAAGAATAGCGGAGGCTCTACACATCACAAGCATGGGAACTAACGACTTCCTTGAAAACTACTATGCCTACCCTGGCCGATCCTCCCAATTCACCATCACACATTACGAAGACTTCTTGGTCCGGATAGCTGACAATTTCATCAAGGAACTCTACGGTCTCGGAGCCCGAAAAATCTCCCTCGGAGGGCTGCCTCCAATGGGGTGTATGCCATTGGAGAGAACTAGAAATCTAATAGGCAGCCACGACTGCTCGCAGAGGTACAACAATTTAGCTCTGGAGTTCAATGGAAAATTGAAAGATTTGGTGGAGAAGCTGAACAAGGAACTTCCTGACATCAGCTTGGTGTTTTCAAATCCATACTATGTTTTCCTGCACGTTATTAGAAATCCTTCACTTTACGGTACGCTATTTCCTCTTACTCCATAAAAATAAATGATAATATTTAGAATTTTATGTAATGTTTAGGGATTTTAGGGGGAAAAAATCTATTATTTAAGGAAACTGTTTTTCTCCTCAATAAAACTTGATTTTATGAATCCGACTTCTGTTAAACAAAATAAGGGTACAGAGGGTTTTTAAGTCATGATCATCTTAATTTATGATTGCTTGCAAATTTGTCCTCAACCTTTAAAACCAGTCAATTGAGTCCTAAACCTTTTAAACCCTTTCAAAGAAGTTTTTTTCCATACATCTAACAAGTTCAATCGAGTAATTAGTGCTATACCAACTGATAATTGATAACTAATATTGAACAATTGATAATTATTATTATTTATAATTCAAACTATATAATTTTTTCTAATTAAAGCCAACATCTAATAATTATTCTTAAAAAACTAAAACAAACACTCTTGAAACTGATCATACTCTTGAACTTGGAGCTGAGATGGAAAGGTGTTGTATGTTTTCCTCACTTAAAAAAGGAGTTGAATCCCCGTTACCTAGAATATCAAATAATAGTAATAATAATAATAACAATAATAAGGAAAAAGTGCACATTCACATTATCTCAAAAATAAAGAAGAAAATCAACACAAAATTACATTATTTCAACTAATTCTCATTGAAAAAAGTAAAATATCTTATTTTTAGTAGCATGAATTAGATTATTTTTGGCTTTTTCTCAAAATATTTTATTAAAACGAAGTAATTTTAAAGTAGTTTTCATTTTAATTTTGAAGAGATAAGCTGAATAAATACTAAACCATAATAATAATAATAATAATAATAATAATAACAATCTTATTATCATACAAAAATTGTTAAATTATTCAACATATTTTGAATAAATACTCGGTGAATTTTTTAAAATCATCATTGAATAAATACTTAATGGGCCTTTTAAAGTCCAAACTCAATTATTTTTTTAATAATAATCATTTCATATGCATCTTTAGTATTATATTTTTAATAATTTTTCTTTTTAATATAATTTTATTTTAATTTGATTTTTACTACTTCAATTATATATGAAGAGAAATCTATTCATACGCAAATTTTATACACCACATTTATAAAAAATCTCAATCATTCATCTATCAACTTTAATAATTGAAATTTATTCACACTTATTATTTACATTTATTAAAAATAATTATTTTTTTCACCTAAAAATCATGACAAATTCTTAACTATTGAAAGTGGAGAGATAAATAGTTGAAATTTTGTATAACTATAATGTGTAAATGGATCCCTAATCATTATATATATAGAGAGAGAGAGAGGATAATACATATTAGTCCCAACTCATAAAAAGAATTAGAGTCCCAACCTTAAACGATATAATTTTATCTGATTAAAACCTAATTCAAAATC